ACATAACATTTAACCCAATCCGTTCCCAAACACATAACCTTGGGTATGTCCTTATCAAACTGCGTGACTTCTTTAGGGAATGGATCCAATCTGGGTATCTCACACCCGGAGCCTTTGTCCTGTTTCAGAGATTATTCTAATCGTCTTTCCATGGACCTGGATTAGAAATATCAAACGGTTTCTTCGAATTAAATCATAAATTCAAAATATTTACGAATAAAATATAGGATTTTACACTAGAAAATAATCAAGATTTATTTATATATTTAGTGTATATTATAATAAAATAAAACAGAGATATCTGTTATAGGTATAGGTGATAACCTAACCGATATTGATAAAATTATGTTCATCGCTGCATGAAATTCCAATTTTATTAACACCTCCCCATGTATACAGTGGCGGCTGTACCTTAAGTGCACTCGTGCGCTGAACCACCAATTCAAAAGATTTAAAAATTACAAAATATTACTTCATCTTTATTTTTAAATTACCACTTTCATATTTATTTTTTAAACATATGAAAACGTATAAAAAATTAAATTTCCTAATTATGGTCAAAAAATTTGAGCGCTTTACTAAACTAATATCGTGCGCTTCGGCGAGTGCACGAGGCCTGCTAATACATCTTGTATGAGATACGCATTAATACGCCTGACGCGTGAAACAAAAGATAGTTCATAGAAATGTACCGAGTAATGAGTCGGTTCTCGAGCGCCGCACGGCCGAAGATTACCGAGAGCACCCGATGTATGACGAATTGAGCCATGATTGACATCTCCTTATGTTTTGTTGCATTTTCTAATTTTAATATTTTAGTAAAGTGCACCACCAGTTCGATTACCCACCAGCCGCCACTGCATGTATATAAAAAGTTTTATAACTATACAATACAAATAAAAAGTATATTGCACGCTACAGAAATACATCAAAATAAATAGATCTACTTACTCAATAACAGGCTGCCTGAAATATATAAGATTTATCAATCACCAACATAATAAAAACAAAGATTCAAATAATAGAAAATATAATACGAACAGCATCATTATTAACTTATTTAATAGAATAAAATATGAATGGTAGATTATTAAAACTAACTACAAATTAGGACCGTTTATACGGCTGTTATTACAAATCCATTTGTTGTTTGTAAAATTAAAGTAACACATTTTTTTTTGTTCTAACATAAACTATCTATGACGTAGCATCAGAATCTTTTTCGTTTCTTTAATTTAGTTGAAGTAATGAGACAAGGCAATTAAATATATATTCAGGATAGCTACAGTCGAGAAATTCTGTCACAATTGCTTGAATAACCCTTTAATAATCCAAGAAGCTTCTAAAACTATGTACATACCTCCTGGTAATATTGAGTTTCTGCTCCCTTTGTAAACTAACAGAAAAACTTATGTAGTATACCTATTATAGAGGCGGCTATGAGAACTATAATAACGATTTGGGTCCTTCTCGAACGATACTATCGTTTAAGCATTGTGACAGACATCTGGAACAAATGTATATACATACATTAGGCTACAGTTACACATGGTTTAAGCAAGCATACCTGGCAGCCGTTTATATTTGCGGGCAATAAGCAATCTTAAAACAAACTTTCCAGATACATACGCTTTTTTAAAGCATACTTTTCTCGCTCTATGTCCGTTCAAACAAAGATAAGACCATCCTTTTGCTGGGGATGCAATGCGGTCAGAAGCTTAAATTAAATTAAATATCGAGAAGACAGGACTTGGGATCAAGTGCTAATTTACTTACAGAAATACGAGGAGACGACGATTCATCTGTTGTAATTAACTGATCGGTACTAGCATGCTTAATAAGCAAACGTGTTTAGACGTGCTTAAAGCATCCACCCTTGCACCCGCACCGCTAGTAGCATGCTTATTTTAAGCAACAATGAATACACGTTTTAGCTACATACTTTTCAGCAACCGTGATCACGGGCAGACGAGATGTGAGTGTCTGTCAGTGGGTCTTGTTATTTTATTACAATAAAATACTAGTGAAGTAATAAAATACTAGTAGAAAATCCGTAAATATTAGTTTCATTTAAATGAGTACTCGCAATATTTTTAGATCTCAGCAAATGCTCAATTAAAGCATGCTTTCGTGATTGAAATAAGCATGTGTAACAGTACAACAGCCTCATAATGCTCACTAATTCGGACATACGATTATACTAAGTCAGTGGTGGCCTAGTGGTTAAAGGGTCCGCCTCTCGTTGTCGAGGGCGCGGGTTCAAACCTGGCAAGTACCAATGTGATTTTTCGGAGTCATATGTACTTTCTGAGAGTATTTAGACACCACTGACATACGGTGAAGGAAAACATCGTGTGGAAACCTGGCCTTATAGGTTCACAATTATAAGTTTGAAATCACCAACCCGTCTTGAGCAAGCGTGGTGATTAATGCTCAAACCTTCTCCATGTGAGAAAGAGGCCTTTTGCTCAGCTGTGGGCTCTGATAGGCTGATATTTCGATATATGAGCCGCACATATTATGCTAAAATAGCATTTTTTTCTAAAACCTACCTGTTTGTTTCGCTTATTCTCAGAAACGGCTTGTTTTATTTTGAAGTGACTGAAGTAATTTGCAATTTATAATATCTGTTAACGAAAACTGCACCATCATATTTAAATTATCCTAAAAGTAACTTAAGTTACCTAGAGAGAATAAATATATTTTTCAATTATTTCGTTTTACAACGAGCTAACAGAATCTTTTACAAATGTAGTACATAAATTCTTGTTTTAGATTTTTTATTGTTATTGCAAATTAATATTCCTTCAAGCACAAATAACAACATGTTTTAACATTTTACATAGAACCGATATGTAATGGTCTTAGTGATATTTTTAGTTGACTACTCTATTGAACTGTATTTATAAACTACTTACAGACTTGGGCCTGTCCAGAACTCACATTAATTCATTCTTGAAACGTCCTTCGACTTCAGCCCTAGTACGAACTTTTCCAATTTGGTTAGGTATAGAGAGGTTCGCTCTGCAGGCCTTCAGACACATACTCGTATGTATGCATCTCGTCTGCTTGGGATCATGGTTGCTGCAAAGTAACCAAAAGTCGGGATTAAGTATGTCGTTAAAAATAATTATAAACGCCTAGTAAAGCCCAAAAATATTTGTTTATTTCAATAAATACTCGCGAAAGTCCTAGACTTCATTATAACATATAAGTTGACAACGTTTTGACTAGTTAAAAATATTTACTGTCGACTTTTAACGGAAAAGAAAAAAGAATTTTGACGTCACAATTTTTATTATTTTTGATCATATATATTTCTGACTAGAAGACCTGGCGAACTTCGTATCGCCCTATAATCAAGAAAAATCTATTACGTTTTTTTATTTATATTTTTGGAGTTTACCTGTTAGATATAAATCTCCGTGTTTTAAAGTGCGACAGAATGATTGACATATTAGTTAGTTGTCAAATCTAATGTCAAAAAAAACATTTGTATGGGATATAGAAAAGGACTTTTTTTATTCCAATTTTTCTCACCTTTTAAACCTTCCCTGGACTTTCAGGAGTATTTCAAGACTAAAATTAGCCAAATCGGTTCAGCCGTTCTCGAGTTTTAGCGAGACTAGACTAGAACAGAACAGCAATCCATTTTTATAGAGACTAGAACAGCAATCCATTTTTATATATATAGAAGATAGAAGATTATTCAAACATATTTGCGCAAGAATATTGTTTATTTTACAGTATCCGTTGTTAATATGTGATATGATACGTAACCAATAATTTATAGTAAATGATTTCCAGCGAGATATTTCTGTCTTAAATATAATTTACATCGAACATTTCCTGGAACTTGACAATATTTTAATTCAGTAATATTTATTCAGTATTAATGAGTCCGTCTCGAACATTATGTTTAGAGTGAAGTCGTTATTATATCATATTATTTTAGATTAAAGACATTTGGAGCTAAATTGAAATGCTTGAATATAATATGTTCTATTAATAATAAGAATACTTTTTTTTAATTTATTTATATACGGTCGCTTTTTAACAACAAGGTCATTAACGATCACAGTTATACAATTTAAATTAATTTATACAATTTTATCATTTTAAGAAACTTTAAAGTACATTTACATCCATGTATACTATTAAGACAATCTTTTAAATTAGTGGGTCCATCACAAATTTGTTTTTCATTATTATAAGCGGTACAACTTTCGAAAAGATGAGGCACTGTTAAGTTTAAGCCACATTTACATTTAGTTCTATTATTTTTTGTAATTAAATGAATATGAGTCATATTTGTATGACCAATACGTAACCTTGTGATAACAACTTGGTCTTTTCTACAAGTGAATGAAGCAGGGGATTTATCAAAGATACTATTTCTGATACCGAAGAGTTTCGATGTGTTATCTGTTTTCCAGCTTATATTCCAGCTTTGTTTTATTTTGAACTTGAAAAATTTTCGTAAATCTGTTGGATTTGCTTTAGATCCATCGAATTCGTTATCAGATATAGCTAATAAGAATACTCTTTGTTTACTTAAATAGGAAAGAGATATTTGCATATCAAATTTTGCTAATAGGCACTTAAAGCGTTCAAGTTTCCTAACTTACTTGGGGAAAATTTCTACTTTGAAGTCATCTTCATACAAGTTTTCAATTCACTACATTTGTGCCATTAAATTATTTTAACCTATATGGCAGCTGTTTAAAGCTCTTTTAAGTATTTAGATTGCATTATTTTTAATTAATGTTAGAAAACTGAATAACAGAGACAAATTAATAGGAATATATTTGGACACCTTATTGATTAACCCTTTCAGACCCTGCGTACACAAATGTACACATAAAATATAATAAAAAAAATTGATATTTATTTCGTTACAAGTGCAATTGAGAACGCTTGTATTCAAATGTCCACATTATAAACTATAAAAATGTATACTATTAATGCTATCTCTTAGCATTTTTTGTGACTTTTTCGACATGATTCGATCAGTGGCTGACCGAAGTTGGACCGATGTGGGTAAGCTCGTCATTTTTATTTCTAAAAAGTAGGAAATAGCTAAATATGCGCACTGCAAAAATATGAATTGATGTGTTATATTCCTAAGATCATAAGTAACATATAATTTGAGTTTATTATTCTATTTTTGTATCAATTATCACAATTTTTATATTTGTACACAAATGTACACATCAGGCGTAAACAATGTTTTTACGATTGCTGAAGCATTTTAGCTGTATTTGCAAAATCTAATTTGAATATTTTTGTAACTATAATAATAATGTTGTTGTTTATGCTATATAAAATATATGTTATATGTTGAGATAAAATATTTTTTTTACATTTTCACATAAAAAAACACCAATGTTTTCACCAGATGCCTTGAAAGCCCTATGCGCTGGAACTCTTTCCGATTTGGAGCTATCGTCTGATGACAAAGAGTCGTTTGGATTTACATCTGAAAGAGAGTTGCAGTCTGTCAGAGTAGGTGCAGATGTCATCAATCAAAACCAACGAGAGGTATTCCCACCCGACACTGAAGAAGATGAAGGGCCTAGCTCATTGTGGATTAGATCGAATGATCCAGGAGTTGCTGACACCTGCGATGAAGTGGTTCTCGAAGTACCACCGACAAGAGAAACAGAATCGTCGCATGAAAATATACTTCAGAATATTAAGCCTAAACAGAACATTAGGTGGAGACACAAGGAACTCCTAAACAACAATAAAAAGCCTCGAGGATTTTCTCAAGAAGTAGTTTTGACGAAGATGTAACTGTGGTCAAGTGGCTCGATAATAAGATTACCCATCTTGCTTCTAATTTTGTTGGTATTGGTGAAAAAGACTTAGTCAGCAGGTGGTGTAAGAAAGATAAGAAATTTATTGACGTTGAACGTCCAGAAGTCAGGAAATACAATCAGGCAATGGGTGGAGTTGACCTATTAGATCAACGCATGAGCTACTACAGAACCTTCATAAAATGTAAAAAATGGACTCTTCACATGATATTTCATGCTTCTGATTTAGCTGTAGTGCAGGCGTACCGAGAGTACCAAACTGACAATGCGCTGCTAGACATACCAAAGAATAAACAACTCACGTTGCTTCAATTTTATCGTCAGCTGGCTGAAAGTCTGGTGTTGAGGAATAAAATTACCATCGGTAAAAGAGGACGGCCCAGTGGCAGTAGCCCAATACCACAAATTATTCCAAGAAGACCAGGAGAGATTCGCCCTGTAGCGGATCTAGCAAAAAACGGTGTTGGGCATTTTCCTGCACATGATGAGGGACTTGGGACACGGTGCAAAATGGTTGGATGCAAGGGAAGAACCAGGATTAAATGTATACAATGCAAAGTTCACCTTTGCCTTACCAAAGATAAAAACTGTTTCTTAGCATTTCATACGTAAATTTATGAAACATGCTTTTTGAATGTTCAAATGACTAATTACCTATGTTCCAATTAGCTGCCTATCCCATAGAAAAATCTTTTTTTTGCTAATAATTATAAGAATTGTACTTAAATTTTGTTAGTTTTTTATTTCTTATTAAAAACATTGAGAAATTAAACTTTTTATAATTCCAATGAAAAGCCCCTAACAGCAGTCTTATCATTACGTAAGACGGATGTGCACATTTGTACACAAAAAGAAAAACGTTATTTTCTTAAAAACCTGACAACCAGGATTTTTTTCATAATTTTTTCCTTAGTCTTTTTACTCTACTCTAGCTTCATTTTTTTTTTAGATTCATTGGACACAAAAAAAATAATTCAGTTCTGAAAGGGTTAAGGGCAGTATTGTATTCATAAATCTGCCATAATTATTTGTAATGACTAAGTTTATTAAAAAAAGTACAAGGAAACTCTTCGTATATTACATGCTGATGGAAAACTGAAATACGATGTATGAATATTGATGAGGTGAATGTATATAAGTCAATGGTGGCCTAGTGGTTAAAGGGCCCGCCTCTCATTGCCGAGGGCGCGGGTTCGATACTGGCCCGGGCAAGTACCAATGTGATTTTTCGGAGTCATATGTACTTTCTAAGAGTATTTAGACACCACTGACATACGGGGAAGGAAAACATCGTGAGGAAACCTGGACTTATGATTTTACAATTATAAGTTTGAATTCGCCAACCCGTCTTAAGCAAGCGTGGTGATTAATGCTCAAACCTTCTCCATGTGAGAAAGAGGCCTTTGCTCAGCAGTGGGCTCTGATAGGCTGATGATGATGATGATGATGATGATGAATGTGAATTTGAAGCGTCAACGTATTTTTGCGGCATTTATAACGGACGAAAAATAGGCAGGGGCTCCTCCCCTTCCTATTTTACTTAATATATGAGGGACAAAAACTGATATTTTTTTTAAATAGAAAATTAAAGTAATTTGAGAGTTTTTTTACATATTCATAATTGTTAATTATACTGTTTTTGTAATAAATAACGCTTAGATTTAAAATGAATTAGTAATATGTTAAATTTGGAAGAGTTTGTTACAGAATAGTAAAGAGACAGGCCAGGGTAGATACTTTTTTCTAGGTCAACATGAAATTATAGCTAAACTAAGTTAATTCAGATACTGTAATTCATTGGTAAAAAGTATGCTTTATTTATTATTAAATATGACTGAGGATGTCCGCGAATTTTCAAATTATGTATGATTTTTTCATGTAGCCGTCGATAGTACCTCTTAACGTAGAACTATCCGTATATAAAACGCTCAGTGAATCCGGAAACTGTCGTTTAAAAAAATACCAATCTATACATATAATAAGATTGTAGAAAAGTGCTGTCTGTACATTGAAAATAAAAATAAAAAAAACAGCAAGGGGTTATTGATATGTATTTTTTTTTTGTCTGTTTGTCTGTTCGCGCTAATCTCAGAAACGGCTGATCCGAGTTGGATGCGTTTTTCACGAATATATTGTGGTATGCTTCAGTTATGCTTTAGTGTCTGTTTCATGTCAATCGGTTCATAAATAAAAAAGTTATGTCAAATTAAAGAATCACGTAATTTAATATGTATTACGTTTAATATTGTATATGTATAGAGAAGCATTACAGTAAAGTAGGTTTTTTAGGTACCCAAAATGACTGTGATTATGATCCAAAATAAAAATAAGTATATATTTAAAAAAAAACGCTGCTCATAGAATGAAAAAATATTAGTTTCATTTAAATGAAGACTCGCAAAAATCTTTGATCTCATTAATACTAATATTACCTGCATGGATTTTATTTTATATGTGAATTAAATATATTTTGCAATCGATAATAGTAAATATATCATTGAATGAAGACTAAATTATAATCACATTATTTTATCGTAATACAAATAATACTGTGCAATACTATATAAAAAAATGCATTTTGTCACAAAGTCCATTCGTTAATTTTATTACTCTTCAAACTGTACAATTTATGTATATCAAATTAGTTATTTTGAAGAATATTGAATTATAGGTTGAATAATTTATTCCTAGTGACAGTTATATCCCATTGGTTACTAAAAATACGGCCAAAAATATATATCCGGCATGAAATTACTTTGATCTCATTGATTGCATGGGTTCATATTCTAAAACTGTTTGATCTCCGTCAAAGTCTTCAATCTTGTAATCAATATTTTATGTTCCTTCCTTTACTTCCAAATAATTTATTATTATTTAGAGTAAACCTCCAGACGAAAATCTTTTCTCTACATTAACTGCGTGTCTCATTTATTCGCATCTAATATTACTAAGAGATTTTAAAAATGCTATAAAAAACTAATAGTTTACAGTGATTCTTATTAATGAATTTACATTTGTAAATAGTAGTTGTAGGTACAACAGTGTTTATATATACAGTATGTTATGTAACACAGGTTCCGTTGAACTCGTTAATATATCACTAATAGATAAAAATAAATATATCAGCATAGAAAAATAAGCATAAAATAATATGAATTAAAAATATAATTAATTCACAATAAATTTTAAAGCTGTGCAAAATCAAAATAATGGCGTGGAATAGTAGGTAGGAATCTAGCGTAGTAACATTGCCCAAACTGGCAACTTCTCAATACGCACGACTTTTATAATGGCGGCATATTGAATTATAAAGACACGTAGTCGGACTGTTATCAGTAAAAATAAACATTTTAAATGTACCTATGTTTAGTTTTGTTTTTTAATTGATTAATTATTATATTTTAACAATTTATGTATTATTAATTTTTTATTAACAATCTATGTATTATTTTTTAAATGAGTCATTGTTACTAAATAATAATAATAATATTTATTTGCTCCGAATGTAGGTACAGAATATAGGTGTATATAATAGAATCTAGTATAAGTTCCAGTACATTCTACCTTAAGGCATGCAAATGTTAGGCTTAAATTATAAATTAAAATTAACCATTAAATTAAAATTAGAAATTAAAATTAAACAATGCAATTAATTATAAATTCATATTAATCAAAATTAACAATGGTAGATAGATATGTACATGATTAAGTTGTATATTTTATTTATTTTTTATTACAATATTATGTTTCGTCCATTAGGTAATCATTAATTGAGTAATAACGTTTAACATTAACTTGAAAATAGAAATAAATAAATAAGTTAGCAATAACACTTAACCCGTCTCAAATGTATCGCTTACAAAGAAACGTGTCCCTGAGGTACCTATTCGCAAACAGTAATTTAAAAAAAACTAAATTCATGTAACTACATATCTAAGCCTCGTTTCAATAACATTTCAATTAAAATACAGAGAATTTGACAGGGGCCAAGTATTGAATGCGTATTGGTGGGGCGGCAGCGCCTTTGAGTTCTGCCGACATATCGCGACACTATGGCGACGCATCGCCGTTTTCGCGCGCTCGTGGTCACAAAATAAACAAATACTAGTTAATACAGAAGTTCTACTCACGGAAACCTGGGCTCCTCCTCAAAATGCCTTAGCACATTCTCTTCCTGCCGCACTGAAATCACGGGTCGCGGGCTCATTGTTACGCATACGCGCCAGGGCCCTCACAATTACATTAGAATTCCGCGGTTGGTGTGCATCTGAGAGGTATCTCAGCACACATCCTCAGAGCACGTGCGCCGTCATAATTACACTCAGCAGAAATAAACATTTACATACTCCTGCGCACTAAACTGATAACGCGGCATCTTTCACACGAGGAGGACGCAATATGTAGTAATGCGAAAATAATGGACGTCAAATCCCGGTCAGCGCGTGAGATTACTACCGAATATAATTACCTATGAGGACGTTCGGGGGAAGGGGGCGGGGGGCGGGGCGACACTTTAATATTGTAGATCAATCGATCAATCGTCATTCATAAATAAATTGCGACGATGCTGTTCGTCAACTATGCGTGTACGGAGTCTTCCTTTTACGTGTCAATTTAACATTTATATTGTTTTCTTTTAATTAAAAAAATAAAAAACGTTTTGTTTTCGATTGGTAACATATTTTTTAGCATGTATGGATGTTATATTATTGCGGATTAACGGAAACGCACTCTGTTAGTTAACATACTGTGTATATATGTATATATTAAAGTGTATTAATTTAATGCCTATTGATATTATTAATAGTATTATATAAATGTATTTCTATTCTGATGAAGTAAGTATATCCCAAAAGAGAATAGATGTATATTTCTTAAAAGTATTTTCTACAAGGTCAGAAATCAGTGTCAACCTTTATATTACAATGACACAGATGAAAAAATATGTTTTAATATTATTAACAACCAAACCTTTTT